AATATTCTGTAGTACGCAAGCAGGTGAACCATATAGGCTAAGACACATTCCTTGAAGCCCCATAACATGGAAGCTGTTTCTAACGCCAAATGATCCTGATGTCTTACGAATCCTTTCAGCCCGAGACGAAGAGAACTTTCGTGAAAGATGCACTTTTCTAGACACCATCCAATACTGTTACTGTTGACAAAGACACAATGGCATATAGGCCTCAATCCGCTAACTGCTTTTCATCCCTAATTTGACTTACTCGATACCTTTCTTTCAGTTCACTGTACACAAAGTTCGGACGGTTATATAGGTCCCTCAAAGCACCGTTTTACCTCGTACTTTCACCCAACCTTCTTCTTCTACTGATGATTTTCAGGGCGACATACAAATGTGCAGTTATTCTTCGAATTGTATCCTGCCATACTTTAGAAACCAGTGTGATGGATCATACTACTTTCCTAGTTTCAGCCCAGAAACATGCAGAACGACTACTTTAGTTTATGTATAAGCACCCAGCTCATAATATCCCATTGATGCGCTGACTGGTAGGCGAAAATTCCACGTGATTGTGCGCGAAAGCCACACAGATTTACAGTGAACTACGGGCTGTTTGCTTGTGTGCCAACTACGTGTTTTATTTTAAGTTGCCATTGTTTTCGTGAAAAAGGAATATCAACGGTCTGAAACAAGTAATGCTCAGCTTACTGCAAGGGAAGAAGTATTCCTTTGTGTATGTGGTGAAAATCTAGCATAAAAGATACAACAATACAGACATCAATATTTTCAGACGATTCGTTTTTGGTGCTGCCGCCATATACTTGTTATTCACGTTTGAATCCCTTTCTTAGGGACTTATTCACAACTCCAATTCTTCTCAAACTTTTCTGAAAATCAGTGCAAGTAGATTTTGAACTGCTGTGGCTAGTTGTCGTGCGCGTGTGTCACTAAGTCAATCTATGAATCTGTGGCGTACATTGGTAGGAGAATGATGGCTATTCCAGAGCCTAAACAAAGCACGTTTCCGGTTGGGATGGTCTGACGACGAAAGGGGCGATCATCGCCGTGAGTGTATCCTCTAATCTCAACTTTGGTGGCTTCGGTATCTGGAAATATTCGCGAGAAAGGAAATGAACATTACGATCAGTTTCTTTGCTGATTGTTAGTTAAAACGAAGAGAACTGTTGACTTGAAAAATAACCTCAATATATCCACTTTCATGGTGCAAGGCTCTATTGATTGCAAACATTGAGGTTCCTGAGGAAAGGCATAAAAAGTAACTTTTCAACAGAATTTTGCGAAATTTTGTAGGCTTTTTATTTCGACAGCGAACACTTACCACAGTTCTGTTGTTAAATGGATGTTGTCAGTGCGTGACAGCAGACGGGGCGCTTCTTATATCAAAAAGAAGCTCACTTTCTGCGAGGTTCAAGTACTGACCGGATGCAGGGAGAACAAACATCGTGGGAATATCTGGTCTAGCTCTTGGATGTTCACACCCATTGATTTTTGTAGGTGAACTAAGAGCGATTAGGTCGCTCAACGGCACGCAAAATTTGATAATTCACCTGTGAAATGGATTGGCCAAACCACCAAGGGTTAAGCAACTGCCATACAGATAGGTGAAATGCATGCGGTGTACCTGTATGAGCCATGGAAGTGTTCCGATTAGCCGGGACACTTGGCTGACGAACATACCTTATGCGAAGCGTGGAAAACAACAGAGTCTACACAATATCCCGCGAACATGTGCACCCTCTATGCGCGCTTTTGTTATTTAATTCAACTGGTCGAGGGATCGTATACAGATGTCCTCGTGCAGCCACCTCCTAGTTAGCCATCGAACATAAATTTAGATGACTGAAAGAGAGAGATCCATTCAGGATAAGCCCATATCAGATGTCGGACAGGTCTGAGTTGAATAATAAATAATAATCGTTCAGCTGTAGCGCCCTTTCGACGCCTAGCTGCCATACCACCCGAAGGAAGCACGAGGGTTGCGGATACTGTCAGGTTGCCCAAGCCTAGACAGGGGAAGTCGAGAGGCAGATGTCGGGTTCGAACCACGGACCTTCCGGTCGGTAAATTCGCGCTCTAACCACTTGAGCCATGTCGCCCACCCCCCGGTCTAAGTTGACTTCAGTATGAATGGGTTTCAAGTAGTGCTGCACCTCTGGAATAACCATAGTGGATGTAGAATAATCTTCCGGTAGAGAACTTCTGAAGTGCTTGGTACATAACAGTATTGCCATCCGCCAAGGTTTGGTGCGCATCCCCTTCAAGAATAAATCATTTCTAGAAAGACCACACAACCTGCTTATCGTGTTTGAATATTGTGTGACATTACTTCCCATCGTGAGTCCCACAGGAGGTCACATGAACCAGCACAGAACAAGGATTAATTAGATGAAACGGCTATGGTGTTAGGTTGGGACGGCCCCTCTTGGGGACAGGTGAAGTTACTGGTGTGCATGGTGGAAATCATTAAGCTATATTTGGGGTTGCGACTTCGTATCGCTGGGGTCTACAGAAGCTGAAGTCAAACGATACTTTGCTTAACCTATGAAGAACACTTCCGTATTAAGAGACCACTTTCAGTAAGTCTTTTGAATTACATTGTCTAGAGAGGGCAAGTATACAGATGCCTCCTTTCAGGGGTAAACATTCAAAATGGGTATTTCCTGTGTGTAATTCTTTCGAGTAAGCTTCATAGAGATGAAGATGTAGGAAGTTGTTCCAGCCTTAAAGACCGCCTTCAGGGGCTCGCTAAACTTCATGTATTTCCCAAAATCTATTGACTCAAAGTCGTCCTCACGAATGCAGTGTGAAGTGGTGTTAATTAGCAGGGGGACTTGAAGTATATCCGTGAATCGCAGTTCTCAAATGTGCGTAAACAAACCAGAATAGTCCACTACTTACCACTACCGGACTATTAGTGTTACTCAAACGCACTCAGCTGTCAGTATTTTAGTGTAGATAACCTACAAAAAATTATGATCCTCAATGAGTGAAACAGTTGGGTGACATAACTAACCTTCCAACTTTTCTGCATTTTTTATGTTAGGTTCGACTTCTCGTACATTATCAGGTTTCCACATCCTGGTAAACTACCATAATAGACTGTGATCTACCGCCTAATTCATCACGGATGGTGAAAATTCTGCTACGTCTTCTTTCGAGGAATCTGTAGTAATTAAGGTTGATATTGCTGAAACCATGTTTTAAAACCTCACCGACGTTGAAAACATACTGGTATGTACTGACGATAGTCATGTGTCTTAACATAAGAAGGGCCAAAGCACATATTGAGCGTCTGATTCTCCGTTTGGAAGGAAAATCGCTCCTGGTGGATATCTAGGTTGGTCGTTGTTGGGAAGATAGCTCGGTGGTTAAAGTGCCAGCTTACGGTCCAGAGGGTCCGTGGTCCGTACCCAACCTCTGCATCTCGACTGCTCCTGGCTAGGCTTGGGTAACCTGGCAGTATCCTAGCCCCTGTGCCTCCTTCCGTTGATATGGCAGCAAGGCACCGAAAGGGTGCTACTGCTGAACGATATCATCCTGTTGGGGAGTGATCTCTCAGGCGTAATTTTCATGCCAACTCCCGTTTGACCAAGCAGCAGTGGTCTTACTTGAAGGGAAACGGAAGACTGTATCTCTATACAGGATTACCAATGGTGAGGGCTCATGGCATTGAATGCAGCATTCGTGCAGTTCAGAGTTCAACACAGTAAAAACAGCGGTGGCACTCTTTTATGGTCTCGACAACATAGCGATTGGAAGAACCACAACAGCAGACGCGAGATCCAGTAGCCGTAAAACGCGGAAAACGACTTCAGCTCAACACAGAAAAATCTGAACGCATGGGCTCAAAATCTGGTGGCTTCATCGATCGCTCAGGTATAACCGGTCGAATTTGGATTAGATGGGTGGTGTGAGGTGACCTTAAGTCAATGACGTTCGGATGACTAGTCATCACTAGCTTGATTTTAATGCTCATAAGTGTTGTGAAGTTTAGATATCCGAATCATCTTGGTGATGCAGCGTGCGAATCATAAACGCGTCGTCTCAGCATCCCAAAACATGCTAATCTTCCTTAAGAAATGAAATCCAGATAGGGAATTATGGGACAGGTCACTGCACACTGGTACATGGAACAAACCGTTACTGAATAACGTAAACGAATACCCCAAGCTTGTACTCCGACTAAAGTAAATGGCACCCTCATATTGGGACAAAGCACGGTGGAAGTGCACACACAATACCGTTGTCCAAGTGTGTGCGTAAATGACAGTATTTATAGGTCACTCTTTTCAAAGGGAAACATTCCCGTCCAAAAACAGTTAAGTATCTTCCAAACGTGTGGTTGAAGGCGAAACTAGCCTAACGGGTAGGAGAATTCATAGCCATAGAGATGAGAGATGTAGGGTTCAGGAACTTAACGAAAGGCCTGACTGGAATAGTTCCAGGCTAGAATACCGATTAAAGGTAAAGATGACGCACAGCGAGTACAACCCGGTAATTCTTGCGTTCCCAATAATCATTGCTTTCGTCGTTGTGTAAGAATAAGTCGTCGTGGTAAATTCATCTGTTTGATGGTTTTTATTCCAGTTCACTTTACCGAAGTCTCTTTAATTTTCAGGAACCACATGATGCGTCTGGCGACTGTTATACGGGCTCAAATGGTGCATTAGTATGAGTCGGGAATATGAAAGGCGTTGTATATCTGGATCACTCTTCTAGGACTAAGCGGAAAGTGCTCCCCTTCCCTAATGAAAGCTGCTAAACAACATCCATATACACATATACACACATATATACATATACTTTTGATTGCCCTTGTGGAGAGAACATGCGATAATATTCTTGCTGACTATCCCTCTACGAGTAAGCACCACTATCGCGAAGAGACCCCAGAATTCCCCGACGTTTCCCAGAGGGATGCAAGTGTTTTTTTCTATATCCTTCGTTCCTACTACCAAGTCCAAGTACCAAAAGTCACCTGAACCTCACTTGGCAAGTATTGTATCCCAAACCACGTCCAAATCCTATTTCTTGCACAACCTTACTATTCAATCAAAAGCAGGGAATTAAAATGGATAAAAAGGTTGAACTAAGTTCATAAACATATAAACAAGAAGGCTGTCGCTATATGGTCACATACGAGGAGGTCCGGTTGAGAGGAGTTCTTAGTCAGGGCGACGATCACAGCAAGTAGATAATATGTGTGGAGCGAAAATGAAGTACTTTTACAGAAACGAAAAGAGATAACGGTGAATCGGTCAAGGAAGGGAAAGTTAATGCAAACACCTCCATAAAGAGTACGCCAGTTAAAATTGCCAGTGTTCATGATAAACACGGTGATTAACCGTAAGACTGGCGTAGATGTAATAAAGTACGACCAAAATATAACGGAATTACACAAATGAATTCGGTGCAGAAGGCTGTTGCTCGTCTATCGGCAAGTGGAACGGTTTAGAAGAAGTGCAGGGAGGGATGGGAATCATTAAGCTGGGAGGCGGTTCACTGGAAGTAGGTTCAGGCACATCACTAGCCATCAGATCTTCTAGTTCCTCGTTCAATAGTCCCCAAGTACAGTCAAGTTTTGGTGAGGTGTCTTCAAGGAGAGACGCGCTGCCAGTCTTGTGGTGTGCGCAATGTACAGATGTGGACAATGATGGACCTTGTATAATGGCACGAACGGCTGGAGTCAAAAGGTTGATCACCTGATCTAATTGAAGGATGTAAGCAGTTGCACAGTTGAGCGCAGGCTCCAGAGTGATGTTGAACGACAGTTCGTTTACGTGCTGAGAGAGTGAAACGATATTAGGCAATAAGAATAGGGAAGCAAAATGAAACTGCCTGACAGTAAAAATGACTACCAAAGACGTAGGAAGATGAGTAGAACACGGAACACAAACACTGCCGTGGCAACCAGCGTTATGCGACCAAATAAGACGGTAAGTCGGCAAGCATTCGGTTCACCGTCGGAATTCGCTACTACCTTGTAGGAGCACAGCACAAGGGTTGAGTTTTTTTTTATCTCATACAAGTCGGGCTAGAAACAAGCTAGAGGTGTAAGCTACATTTCATAGATGTGCATGTTTTGTACAACAGTGTACATAGTACAACCTGGTTTACAGCGGAAGCTGCTTATTGCATGTACAAAGATAGGGCTTCGTGACGCATAGCATCGTAAACAGTGATTACTCTAGGACTACAAGTGACGGGCACTGGCAGTCTTTTTTGCGCGCAGTTGGACCTAAGGTATACAAAGTCGTGATATGATTTTCAGCTCACCTCAGCCGAGTAAACCCATCAAAACATTGAAAGCATTCGGTCGCTAAACGAAGGTTTGGGCAGGTCACTAATGAATAATGCCGCAAAACTGATACTTTTATGAATATGCTTGGTGCTCATCAATACCAGAAGCAATATCCAGAAGCCATGCTTGTCAGTTTCGAGGTTGACTACAGCGGTAGGCATCAATTAACGGGTGGCACCAGCGAAAAACTGATTAATCCACACCGATCGGACAAAAAACTGTTAGTTCGCACAGACACCGGATTTCTCACAACCAGTTTAAATTAAGGATATTACCGATGAGTGGCACACGCAACAAAATCGAGGAAGTATTCCATAGTCACACAACATACCAACGGTACCAAATTACCTTTAAAATACTGTTTGCATCATAATTTCGGTCCATGAAAACCTTGCGTTGCATCAGCAAAACGGCGGCAGCGAAAAATATGTGGAAGTTCTTGGTCAAGTATTCGCTCCATATCGTCTACAGTTGAGCAAACGTGAAAAGAAAATTGTGGCAGAAAAAAGTTGGTCGGGGATGGATAAAACATACGAAGTCGACTGACCAACATGCCCTGAACATTATCAGATATGTAAATGGTCGAGTGAGCGACATTATCTCTGCAAACTCTAAAAATTGTGAATGGGCCAGAGAACGGGAATGTTTAGAATTTGATTCATCTAAGCCAATGATACACAGGACAAAATCAACATATTAGAAATAGACGTGCATGGTCATCGTGTCCTTGGCCGAAACAGGCAAGAGGTATTATAAGAACAATGAAACAGGTCAATCAGACGAAATTCTTCAGACCTAATCGGGACAAAGTTGGTTATATTGTGGGAAATATACCATGTGCTGTGGACTCTTGTGTTCATTCTCTAAGATGGAAACATCAAATGGCGACATTGTTCGACACCTACACCTGTCTGGACGATTAGCCACTATGGCGTTTCTGCACCAAAAAATTAGAGCCACTTTTGTTGCACACACTATTTTCTGTAGTATATTGATAATCCAGGGAAGATTAAAGCATCATTCTGTGGCGGGCACCAACGACAGAGAAGTACAAGACGTTGACGAGGCTGTTTACTCAGTGGTAAACATGTGGACCCTCAGCCAGACCAGCACTTTTTGATTTGCCGTGAATGGAGCACACAAACTGACCTTTAGTTAACAGCTACAGGTTGTTTTTCGCAGTATCACGAGCTCGCCCTCAGATATAAGACTAGGCAGGCTCAGTTAAATGTGTGAACTTCGGTTCCAATCGGTCGTTGACCTAGACAACCACCTAACTACACCAGTAAATAGTCTGAATACTGTAGCGTCTGCTCACGTGCCGTGGTTTGGAAACGGTGCAAGAAAAGTGAGGTTGGGCAAATCTTACTCAAGTAACGAGAACGTGTTTCCTAAAAATTCGTTAGAAAAACAGTGGGCTTAAAAAGTGAGCATATCGAGAAGTAATGGAGATGGAAACGATATAGAACAAACCTTGGCCATCAGTGTAACCTCGCAAACTAAAACTTGTGTTCCGTGTTCCACGATTCGTGACACTTTTCATCTTACAAACTTATGTCCAAGCAGCTTCCGTCGTATAGATATCGATATCTCTGAATAGCTGTTGTGACTTCTATTATTCAGTTTATTAGAGCTCCCAAACCGTGCATCGAAGTGCGGTGGTTTCAACTGCTACAGCTACAAGTTGGAGGCCAGGACCCAATCATTTCACTACCTCTGAATGGTTCTGCTGGCCTGGTATGGCAGGGATAGAGAGCTGCGCAACGAAGGCAATAGCTTTGATGCAAGACTGCGTGACACATCTATATCTCTCAGGGTCACTAACCATCGGTGTCTTGGCATCTACCAAAGCGAATAAAGATGAACGGTAAGGTCTTTCACGATTTGTCATGTCATGGATTAAGCACCCCTGTGTAGTCTCTATCCGATAGAACGCCGGGTGAAGAGGGTTCCATAAGGCAAATGATTCTTTGACATACAAACTGAACGGTCTAACAAGCGTAACCCGTGGAGCATAATCAGTTGATCTATCGAGGAAGAATGAGCTTTCCAGCAAACAATCTGGTGTACTTTAGCAGTAGAGATGTGGTGTTCTCACCAAACTAGAGCAATGCTTCCGAGCCATCTATGGTCAAACACAGAGAGCCTTCGAAGGTCCTCCATACGCAGGAGCCAGGTGGGTTCTGCATACGGGTACAAAATAACCCGAAAGAAAAACCCGCTGGGTGAAAAAGTAGTCATTTAGTAAGCCAACTTTTAGGTGTAACAAAAACTTTCAAATCATAATCCGGCAAAGGAGTCCACCTCAATCAACATCTTTGTACTAGCTATATACACAGCATACAAAGACGGCCTTGAAACGAAATGAAACGTTCGTTCCTTCGCAGTCAACCTGCTCCTGCAATTCGAAAAAGTGGAATAATTGGTAGTTTTCCGCTTCGCACATCCGCAGTCGTGAAAACTAGACCTAGAACGAGCCGTTCATACAGGAGTCAGCTTAAGTTAGCCATTAGTATGGTACACCAAGACTTCATGAAGCTGAACTATTATGATCGAAGCTGTCGATGTGACGCAAATAACAAAGAGCAAGTAACGGCAGTGAAGGATCAGTGCCAACACTGATGTTGCTGTCTTTGATGATGATGATGATGATGATATGATGATGATGATGATGATGAACGGCTCTCAGGTGGGTTTAGTGCAGTCTGGACACTCTGAAAGCAACACTGATCCGGAAATTTTACGTGCAAGCAAATAGCATTTGAACGGTTCCCGGATATCGAAATCTGTGATCCCGTCGATGAACAGACACCACAAACGGCACCAAGGCCATCACTGTTCGCATCGAAATGAACTGCAGCTTGGCACTATAAGAAATCAACTTAGGACCTTCTCTGAAGTTCGTAAACTGATGATCAAACTCAGTGGTACAGATGGTAGTCCATAAATACATCAAATCTAACAGACGTAAAATGGGGGCGCAAATTACAATCATGCATGAGCGCTTTATTCTCAGCCTTTGAGTGTTTCCTTTTTCAAGCAGATCATGAGATGAATAGATAATTATCGCCGTTCGAAACAGATGGCCGACCAGCACAGTCGGGTAGACTCACTTCCCACAACAACATGACGTCAGTGTAGGGAAACTCGCGTTTGAATTGAATCAACAACCACCGGAAGCAGAACAGAAGGGCATTGGCATTTTTGCTTTCTGTTGATCAGTGCAAAGGAAGGGAATAGAGAGTGGCGAAAATTGGCTAGGGGATAAATGTGAATAACAACATGGAACAAACAGGTCAGTCTAATGCATCAGCCTCACGCGCGTGCCGGAACGCTAGCTGTCAACATGCGTATGGGAAAACCGTCTCAGTCTCAGTCGGTTCGCAAGCCGACCTTTGAACACGCGTGACGAGCAGGAAACACGTTTGTCTAGCAGCGTTAAGCCAAATACTGGAACGAACGATTATGTTGTATCAGATTTGCAAGCGTGGGATTACTGGCGCGTAGGAGGCTGTCACGAATATTATACGTTTCAATGAGCGGCAACAAAACAAAATGCTCGTTGCCACCAAAATCAGAGAAGACTCGTAAAGTTGATCTGCCGCCTAAATGCAACGGAAGCTGATCATAAAACGGTGTCGATATCGATCTCACGAGCTAGAGACCTCACGAGTTCTAGAGACTTTTGGACGCATATTGAAATAACGGTGACTTTGGTGTTCTGCATTTTGGTGAAACTGAGTGAACATCCGTCCATTCGACAGCAAAAATGTAAGAACGTTCCCCACATAGTACTCCAGAAAAAACAAGCTTGGACATTTTATTCCTGAACCGGTTGACTGAATGAACAGCAGTCACACTTCCCACGGAAAGGGTGCACTCAGAGGAGGAAAGTGTCACAGAGCAGGACCTTCATAGGCAACCTGCGGATAGAGTTGATATACAGAACCAGAATCCGAACTCGCAGGTCTTAGAATATATACGCCTACAACTAAACTGAATACACAATGATGCTAAACTTGACGGAACGTTCGCGGTCCAACGATCATTGGACCGACTGAAAACCACGGTTCGACATCGCTTAGAAAAGCAGAAAACATCGTTCGTACACCTGATCGTTCACGGGCTTACGTCAATGCACTCGAAACAAACGAACACGAAGAACCGTGAGGAGCCACGGGAGTTTGCACGTTAACCGTAGCGTTGAAAATCTGAGGAAGATGGATGAGGATTCAAAGGCAAGTAATCCTGGAGAATGATGAGAAAGAAAATAGTTGCTTTCAGCAACCGAGAAGTGGAATTTGGTATGGATGAACAGAGAATCACAGGTGCGTTTGCCCAATGAAAGATTGTGGGAGTAGGACGGAGGTAGAGAGGTCCACGGAGCATTTACCGTCCTCCGAGAGAAGACTACGTCCCGGCAGAGGGTTTGAAGAAAAGTCAATAGGACGCACAACTGTCTTTTGAATACTAACTATGACAGCGGTGCTCCACAGTGGTGTGGACCTCGGACAAAATGAGTCGGGAGGAAATGCTCACCAAAGGAAAAGAAAGCTGAGTTCTCTGGAGGCTAGGATTGCTAGTGATTCCACACAGAGTTTGGAGGGACAACGGTGAAGGAGGAAACATGTGTTGATAGGGCGAAAATAAATGTATTCAACTTTTAGAAGACCAACCCTTAGTGTACTGCTGGCATGCATACTGTAATCATTGAGTCGAGGGACACATATTTTTGAGGAGAGTAAGTATCACGGAATGTGGAGGCATGTGCTGTCTGCAGAAGCGCGGATCCAACCAGAAACAAGAACAATGAAATCGTTGGTAAAGGGTAGACAGAGGAATAAACAAAAGCTTGGGTTAAACCTAAGTTGACCTCGTGGATCCCAGTGGAAAGCCATTAAGGACCACGAGGAACGAAGGGTAATATTTTTATTCAGTTTACCAAGTCAGGATGTCGTCCACTTATTGATAGTTTGGCAGTCAGGTCACCATGTCAAGCTCGATCGACAGCAAGGCATACCAATTTGGTCTAACCAAAGAAACCAAGGGCAAATGATCGTTATGTGTACGCAATCACGACAACAGCGGAGAGATTGTGGCCGTATCCAAGTCGCTGATCGCTCGAAAAGTTTTTATGTGGGAAGTGCGTAGCTAGGAGCTTGATACAAAATGATTGTGGAATAGACGGGCATGTAGTTGTTTGGGTTAGAAGAACCACATTGGAAAATAGGAAATACTTGGAAGCTTTTCTATGTCAATGGGAGAGGATTTCCTGTTCCTCCTTTTGTTCTCCTGTTCCGGACTCTGAAGGAGTCATGAACTTGCTCGATCAGAAGAATGCTAAACAAGTCGTTAAACGTGTTTAAACCTCATGGTTATTCATCCTGCTTCGTTTTGTAGCTGTTCTGTAGAACTTGTAGCGGTTGCCCAATCTGATTATTGCATCCGCGTCCACTGTCTCCCTC